TCGATCTACCTTCATTACCTAGATATTTACCTGCATACCTGCCATTTAAATTACTACTTATCAAAATGAATGAACACTTTAAAAACATTTTTGAGATTATGATGCTTTCGTAATAAAAAATAGCCTATGCGTGTATAAGAGGGCATTTAAAGCCGCTGCGCGTCGTGTTTTGAAATGTATCGCGCGTGCTTTAAATGCCCTCTTATACACTTATATCATAATATACTATAAATGAATATATTTCTAGAGTCTAAAGTGTTATAGGCCTATGTTTCAGTATGTCTTTTGAAAATCAAACTTTTTCTTTCTTCGGGATTTTTTCGGAAGGCAGGTCCATTCAAATACTTGAGCTGATTTTCGAAAATAAGAGGTAGGTACCTACTTTTAAGAGTTGGACGTTTTAGTTTGAACTCTCGAACTACGCCTTTATCCTTGTTTGTTTCAAATCTAATTATTTCGGTTTCTTCAAAATGTTTACAACACACCACAGAATTTTTCGTTATTGTATAATCTCGGGTATAATTATCTCGGTGTATTGCTTTCATCCAAATTTTTTGCAATTCAGAATTTTTTTGGAAATGAAAATGTTTACATTTCTTCAGTTTTTAAGGAACTCCTAATAGTTCGATTTGCACCCAGGAACACAGTAGTTTCATGGCATCTGGAACAAGTTTAAATATCTTAGGTAATATATCGAGACCTATGCTCTTGCAGACAAATATTAATATTGTTTTTATTGTTTTACCTTGCCTTACCTTCATTTTTGCTCCTGTACCCATTTACTAAAAATTTGCAATCAAAGCACAAAGGAACAGGTATCAACTAAATATGGGCAATATATTGGTGTGTTTCTACAGGGCCGTAGCCAGGGGAGGGCATTGGGGGGCAATGCCCTATCTTTTAAATGATAATGCCCTACCTTTAAAAATCAACATACATTAATGTTTCTTTAGAAAATGTAAGAGTAGATGATGTCTGAAGTAGATAGGCCTGATATCGAATAAGCGAGAATGAATGTTTCCAAAAATGCCTAAATCTAATGAACAATGGTTGACGTTTGCACAGAGGAAGTTTTTTTTTGTTTTGAAAGAGTGCGAATGGCCCAGGCGGCCGGCGCGAAAATCCGCGCCATTTTATTAACTTGCCAGAGATGTTAATTATTGCAAGGTTGTTTGATAGAGGCGAGAGAGGTAGGATGCCTGGTAACTTTATGACGTCATCTGGGTGCCTTAACATAATGCAAATCTCTATAAGGTATCCCAGATCAGATGCGTCATCAAGTTACCCATTACCATACTTTACCATACATTATACATACCTTGATGCGTCATCAAGTTACCCATTACCATACTATACCATACATTATACATACCTTGATGCGTCATCAAGTTACCCATTACCATACAACCTGAACCTTGATTTATTGAAAAATTTTGTTTACCTATAAAAATTTACGGGGGGGGGGGCAAGTAGTGTCCTATGTCAAATTTGTCATGCCCTATCTTAAATTTGACTCTAGCTACGGCCCTGTATTTCTATCCACTTTTTCGTCAATAATGCCCACAAAAATACTAAACTGCAACAATACACAATGAAAGCAATACACAGAAACACATAAACCAATAACAAAATAGCACCATACGCGACGTTGCCGTCATTTCCAACTTCATGGCTTGTTAAGTATAGGAGGCTGTGCTTCTATCCGTGAGGATATGTATTTGGGTAATTAAAAACAATGGTGCGAACCGCAACCTTTTATCTTTTCTAGCTTCGAGCATATCTATATATATAAAACACAGTTGTGTTGGTCTTGAGCACTTATAACTCGAGAACGGCTGGACTGATTTTTATGATTTTTGCTTTATTGGATTTGTCTTTGTCCATCCTACGATAATAAATCGAAAAAATCCAAAAAAAAAAACAAAAAAAGAAAAATATCTATTTTACTTATTTATGAAAAAAACTCACTAAGCCCGCATACGGCGTCATCTCTTATAACCGATACCAAGTTTACCGTCACATTTTCATTGCAAACCATGTGGATGTTATTGTCACACACTTTGCACAAAAACAATTTGAGGAAAGCACTTTATTTTTAATTGTTCTTCACAGTAAAAATGTCCAAAAATAAATAGAATGACAATGTTTTAATTGGGTATTTTATTTTGTTGTTGGTTCGTTCATTCCGAAAGAGCGCGAACTGCGGGGGGATTACGAAAACACGACTCGAAATGGACACTCGATACGAAAGTGAATACGCATCGATTGTGTTCGAAACGTCAGAGATGATTAGGTACAAGTTTCGTTTTGTGTTCGTGTGAGTTCGGAGATTTGTGACGCCTTTCACTCAAATTTACCAAATTTTGTCAATTTTTTGACATTGACTTAATACTAATTCTAATTTTTTATTGTTGTGTTGTGGTTATTTGTGTTCTTTAAAGATTAATTTCGCAATTTCAAAGTGTTTAAAAATTTTTATAAAAGGAAAAAGTTAGTAATATGTTTACCATAATCAGAGTCATAAGGCGGCGAAGGCAAAATGATGCAAGAAGACGAGAAAATCGTGCATTAATTCATATGAGAAGAGAAATCAGAGAAAGTTATGATTCCTTTTTACATCCAGGGTCCTTATTCTTGAAACAGGGAGTAGCGTTCCCAGAAGAACGAGTGTTCCGTCTTATTCAATGATATGCAAATGATAACGACATAAGTAGGTACAAAGACGGAACACTCGTTCTCTTGGGAACGCTGCTCCCCTGTTTCAAGAAAAAAGACCCAGAGGCAAGGTTTATTGAACTATTTAGACTTAGCAAAGTCTTGGTCCAGAACCTTATTGACTTGGTACGACCTCATCTACAATTACCCACAGATTCTTTATTTTCTGTAAGCTGTTCCAGAGTTTCCTTTGAATGACTTTGCCGTTGGGCCCTGCAAATTGACCTCTAGCAAATAGAGAATGTTTATCTATAAAAGATAATAAAACCTGCCAATGGCGATCATTAATTTTAAGACAATTTTTTTCAGCGATTTTTCTGTTCAAAGTTCAAAATACTACAAAACGTCAAAACAAAATAAAGAATCAAACGAATTTTGGCCCCCAAAAATCCATCATAACTTAACTTTATTGGACTCGATTTCGTTTCGATAGCTTTTCGACAGACATCAACCAGTCGAGTGACTTTCGTCGAAATGCATTCGCATGGAGTGCGTTCGAAATCAAAATTTTGGTGTAACATGGCGGTTTCGGTTCGAATCGAGAGTTCGTAATCCCCCTCCAGGTCTCCCTGTCATTTCTTGACGCTTGACCATTGACGTTCTGTGGCTAAGTTCCGTTTCTCCTCTTAGGCATCCCTTGACAGCCGTGTTTCGTGGCGACTGTTTGGAGTGCTCCGTCCGGCTGGTGTCGAGTGGCAGAGAGCCAGGTTATGAGTCCGCCACAACCATTTTGTATACGGCGCCATATATGATAGGTACCTAGAACGAAGCTCGCCGTTGTGCGGTAATTCATTGCAGATACAATAGAACAGAATACTGCTAAGGAACTGGAGCTATTCCAAACAGAACTATTCCACTATTCCGATCAGATAAAGTGGTGCAGAAAGAGTAGATAAGATAGAATAGTGCAGATACAGTAGAACAGATGGAGTATTGCAGTGCAGATAAAATGAAACAGGGCTGCGCTGGCGATTTTTTTTGTTTTCTTTACATTTTTTGAACATTCTTGTGCCTGAGTTTATTTATTTGGTGGTAGACTTTATAAGAATAATGCCCACAAGATGCCTAAAAAGGGATGATGTAAAATTTTAATTTTAGGTGACTTCTGATCCAGAGAGTAAAAATTAATTTTCGTCAACCAAAGCCAAATTCGCCATCGAAAAAAACTGAATTTAATTCAGTTAATAAAATCTGTTTTTTTTTTAAAGATAATTCCCCAATTCAAAAATTTAGTAACTATGTTGGCAACACAAGCCTATTCTACATAAAAAAAGCATTGACAATTTTACATTGTATTGCCAACATAATGTCATTTTGACTTTTATCTTTAAAAAAAACGCACTTTAGATACGTTAACACAACATTTAATAGGTATTTAATAATTCAGAGGAGGAACGAAGTTCGCCGGGTCAGCTAGTTAGCTATTAAAATGCTTCAGTTTCGGCTGGGATACGCGGTATTGTTGTAGCCGTTGTTTTTGCAATTAATGGGATGACGGTATTTCAAGAGTAGATGTATATGCGAACCCGTTTGGTCGTGCCGCGTTTAAATTCCAAAACACAAAGTAGCGATAATTATTATCGATGGTTTAGTTAATTATTGATAGTTTACTTGGAGTGTAGATATTCCATCATTTCCAACCTTAGTTACTGGAAAGTTCTATACTTTTCCCTTGCAAGTGGACTTCCATCCCCACTTTTACAGCCATTGAAAAGCATCTGGCATTTTTTATTGGTGAATCAATGTCAATCTTTTATTCAAAAGCCAGGCAATTTATTATTTTGGTATGATAATGATACACCATTTTTGTGTAAATACTTGTTTCTATAAACTACCGATTTAAAAAACACAAAATGGAGCAGATAGGTATTCACTTCTTCCAAAACTAAAATAAATCGGCCATTGGAATACGGCAGCAAGTGAAAAAAATCCTTATCAATAGCATGTTTCCTTTCTATTAGTTGTTTTGTGATTTTTCCAACTAGCTATCACAATACATATTTTCACGGTTTCTACCCTTAACCTTAAATAGGGGTAAATTGCAGAAGGAGGCGGAAAATTGTGCCAACCTAAAAATAGAGGGATCCTTTGGATACTTTTTCACAGTTTTCCAGCGATCCGTTGTATAGTTTGCTATAAAAAATAAAAATAAGAATGTTCACTTCTTATTTTTGTCTTTTTTTTCTGTCGACAAAAGTTTCTACCATGAAATTTTGGCTTGCAATTCCAGGTATCTCAGCGCAAAAAATGGAGTTTCTTATTCAGGCTTTTCGTTTATTTTCTAGCTTGTTTTGGATAGTATAATCTGGGCGTTCAAGCATACGATGAGGAACGTGGCAGAGCTAGGCTTGCAGATCCTCCTGAAAATGTTACAAAATATGGAATTACACGAAACGGCCGCTCTCATCTTTTATCAAACGTATTTGACAGATATTTTGCGGAACGTTCTGGAAGTGACCACAGATTCATCACATTCTGCCCGCTTGGGAACGCACGCTACAATATTGGCGTACATTTTTTCTCTGGTAAGGAATCATTCTTTTGTTACAATGTCAATATATGAAATATGTACTTGAATCAGAAAGATTGAATTCACCTCACTTTATTAATAAAACTACTGGCTTTACTATTAAACTTATTCTTATTTAGGTTGAAAGTGGTCGTGTGAATTGCCAACTTGGACCAACCCCTGATAACATCCTTTTTATAAAAGAATATACTGCTTCTCTATTAAAATCAGCCTTTCCACGGCATTTGTCCGATAACCAAGTTAAAGTGATTGTCCAAGGAATGTTCAGTTTAAATCAAGATTTAGTGGCGTTTAAGGAGCATCTGAGGGATTTCTTGGTGCAAATTAGGGTAAGTACATAATATTATGTACACTTACTGTATACAATATTATTATATCAATTATTGTGATCTCAATCCCGAATATTCGACTCTCCTAAATTATTTATGGGTAATTGAGTTCGCAGTTTGCTGTACTTTGTTGCTAAGATTGGGAGCTGTGCTGAGTTGCACTCAATCCTATTCACAAAAATTTGGAGGAGGGCACCAACTTGTTCATCAGCTCCCCTTTCTTTTTGAATATTTTATTTAGAGAAATAAATAATTGGTGTAAGTTTAGACTAACCTGCGCTAGCTCTGGTCAATTTTAATTTTGAAACATGAAAGTGCAATTGCATTGTAAAGATAAGAGGATTGGTCATAGTATAGAAGATCTTTCGATTTGTTTTCCATGATGAAAAAGCCGACTAAAGACTGCCGTTGTTGAAATTGGAGAAAATAGAAATGGAAATGATGACTGATGACGACAAAAATTCTAGCGCGGGAGTGTTGAAGCTACTGCTGAGAGATTTGTCATCTATGTCTGGGACAAAAGGAGCTACCCTGAGAACCGCGAGTCGTCCATGGGCAGAGTTTGTTAGGATGGTAGTAACGACTTTAACATTGTATCTTGACACGAGCTCTCTTCATACAGCGACGAAGAAATTTTTACTTTGATACGTATATAGCGTTGTGGGTACAAGCACTGATTCCTATTGCGCTGGCTGAAGTCTGAAGTTGAATAATCATAACTGCATGTGCATACGTAATCAGAAAACAGGATTGTAAAAACATTGGAGCAGGTAATTTCCTAGGTGTCCTGAACAGCGCTTTACCTGCTCTAAGGTAACAGCAACCACAATACCACGCATTATGAGTATAAATTGCGAGTGGTGCCATCTCTTTGAATTCCTAGAGAGCACAAACAAAAAATCGCATGTATTGGCGAATTGCATCGCAATAATCCACAAGTGTATCTTTTTTAGAGTGAGTGATCTAATCAGAATATTTTCAAGAGTGGAGTCGCAGTACAATCTAAGTGTACAAATTCATTGTCAGCACTCAAGCGATACGTCCTTATAGTGTGAAATGATTATAGTAGATAATATGCTTCTACTGTGACTTCCTTCTGAAAAATTTTCTGAATCACACCTGTAAATTGTTTGTGTTTTAGTGAAAACTCAATATTTGGAAACAACAAAACAATAATAATTTATTAGTGTTTCTCCTCTTTTCCCACATCGAAGCAAAGCCGATGCTATTTGAATACCTCTGAGTTCCTAAAAGAGTTTTTGCATAGTGTAAAGTATTATTAAACTTTTCATTCTTACCCTGATTTTATATAGGTACCTGAAACACAATTTAAAGATGCTGAAAATCCTCTGTAGAACATAATAAATTGGGTTCAAGGCGCGGATCCAGGCCCAAATTGAGGGGGGGGGCATATAAAATATTGGAAGGTACAGGGTGTCTGGTTATAATTTGACACCCCACCTTTATAGGTATAGATGATAGGTATAAGCACGAAAGTGGAGCAGTTTTAGTTAAATTATTGTCAGAACTTTGAAATTTTGCGTACTTTCAAGTTTTTTCAAATAGAATGCCTTATATTTGATTCTATATTCTTGAAGAGCATAATTTTCCGATTCTAAAAATATATAGGTTCTCTATATTTAGTTGAGCGGTCTCCCCCATATTTGGCTTCAAAAATTTTAAAAATACTATGAGAGAAACCAAGTGCCTCAACTTGTACCTGAAGCTTTCATCAGAATGGTTCACAAAATCGTCAGTAGGATAGTATTTTTCCGATTTTTCGAGCCAAATATGTTGAAGGCGGCTCAAATAAATATAGACAAACTATATATTAGAAGCAAATATAGGGCATTTCATTTAAAAAAGTTGAAAGTACGCAAAATTTCAAATTTCCTACAATAAAATTTTGTTTTTGTCGATGGATTCTGAAAATTTAGTTAAAACTGCACCACTTTTGTGTTCACACCTATCATCTACCTGTAAAGGTAAAGGCTGCAGGTGGGGTGTCAAATTATAACCAGACACCCTGTACATACAATTAGAATAGGCTAGAGGTCCTTGATAAAATGACGCCATGAAATAAAATTCTGTTATATACGAGTCTTGGTAAACCCGGAAAAATTGGTGGATTTAATGTTGATTTTTAAAATTATTTTTTCTTATCTAGGGGCGGGCATGGCCCCCATGGCCCCTCCCTGGATCCGCGCCTGGTATTGTCATATATAATATCACAAGAGAAAAAAATTTGTCGCCAAAATTTTCGAAAGGTATGAAAGTTTGTTGCTTGGCAATTTCGCAAATGACATTTTCATCACGAGCCGTCAGGCGAGTGATTTTATCAAAAATTTCATGAGCAATGCAGAGTCCTTTTTTTTTCCTCAGTGATAAAAATAGGTCTACTAATGAGAAGTATACTGAAGTTACGTAAAAAAATAGTCCGGCTAATCTGTGAGTATGGATAATATGTCTGGCAAGTGAAAAATTTAAGATCCGAAAATTTTCAGCCAGACTCACTTTCACTATCTGAGATAAGCCAAATTGCTATTTTCATATACTTTATGTTCTATTGTAGTAAATGTGAAATATTTATGTCTCGGAAAATAAGCGTACTTGTATTTTTCATTGATCTTGTGAACCCATCCGAAAATTTTAGCCAGACTCAAAAATTCTTGCTTTGTAGCACCAGGAGAACAATAGTATATTGTTGTATTAGGAGTAGAAGCTTTACTTTTTTGAGCTGAAGCAGTAGGTTTGCGAGCCGAACGTAGTGAGGCTTGCAATACTGCTGAAGCACAAAAAAGTGCTTCTACTCCCTATGCAACACGCTATTTTTTCTCCAAACGAATGGGGTAAGTTCGGGGGCAAGTGAATGGTTGAGCGGCAATAAAAGTACGAGCGGCACTAAAAGTACTTCTGCTGCCGCTGGGGTTGCTAAGCAGCATAAAATAGTATATTGTTGTATTAGGAGTAGAAGCTTTACTTTTTTGTGCTGAAGCGGTAGGTTTGCAAGCCGAACGTAGTGAGGCTTGCAATACTGCTGAAGCACAAAAAAGTGCTTCTACTCCGTATGCAACACGCTATTTTTTCTCCAAACGAATGTGGTAAGCTCGGGGGCAAGTGGATGGTTGAGCGGCACCAAAAGTACTTTTGCTGCCGCTGGGGTTGCCAAGCAGCATAAAAATTAAATTTCTACCACCTCGACAGGTGTTAACCCGCTGGATTTGCCTAGCAGCATAGAAATCAAATTTCTGACATCTTGCCAAGAGTTAACAAAGTGACGTTTTTCTGACGTTTGGAGAAAAATTAAATTTCTACCATCTCGACAGGTGTTAACCCGCTGGATTTGCCTAGCAGCATAGAAATTAAATTTCTGACATCTTGACAGGGGTTAATAAAGTGACGTTTTTTTAACGTTTGGAGAAAAACTATTTAATAGACACCAACTGGGAAAAAAAGTGCTAAAAAATTTCACTGCCTCCTGGACTATTAAATAAAACCTTGAAAACAATTTTGCCTACACAATTTTTTCTCGAGTGGTATTCGTCATGACTATTTCACGTAAGATTTTGAAAATAAATAGAATGCAAAATTATGAATCAAACTTCAAATTAAAAATACCAGTTTGACAATGTCAAAAAATGGTCGCTGAAATACCATGTTGTTGGTATTGTCCAGGTAGCATTATTGTCAGGTGAATACCGAATTTATTGACGTAGGTAATACCATAAGAGCTCAGATTTAGCCGGATATTTTTTGGCTTGGTCTCGAATACTTACTTTCAGGAAATTTAACGAGAGCTGTTCCGACAAAATCACGAGAGCGCAGCTCGAGTGATTTTATTGAACAGATCGAGATAAATTGCATGAAAGTAAGTATGAGAGAGCAAGCAAAAAAATATCCGGCTCAAAATCTGAGCTCGAATGGTATTTAGTACGGCAATTCCACGAATGTAAAATCAAAACAAAATATTTATTTATCTCGGATAACAAAACACTTTCAATAAGCTAAAATCGGGGCTAAATTGATCGAATTTGTGAATTTTTGTGACAATTATTTGACAGATGATTCAAAAACCAATTTAATATGCAATTTTTACTATGGTAACGATTGCATCAACAGAAAATTTATCCGATTTTTTTATCCAGTTATATTTTCTCTTCCTTCCTATTTATCCGCTAGCAAACTACAATTTTTGACAGTTTAAATGAGATTATTTATACATGAGTGGAATTGCCGGTGTAATACACTCAAGTGAAATAGTCATATATTATAGGTCTGTTCGCAGAGAAATCACAAACCAGTCAGAGTGAATCTCATTGGTTGAAACTAGTTTTCTGACTGTTTCTGATTGTTTTCAACCAATGAAATGCGCTCTGACTGGTTTGTGATTGCTGTGCGAACAGGCCTAATATCACAAGAGAAAAAATTTTGTCGGCAAAATTTTCGAAAGGTATGAAAGTTTGTTGCTTGGCAATTTCGCGAATGACATTTTTGACAAAATCACGAGCCGGCAGGCGAGTGATTTTATCAAAAATTTCATGAGCGAAATTGTCGAAAAGCAACAAACTTGAATAAAACCTTGAGAACAATTTTGCCTACACAATTTTTTCTCAAGTGGTATTCGTCATGACTATTTCACGTAAGATTTTGAAATAAATAGAATGCAAAATTATGAATAAAAACTTCAAATTAAAAATACCAGTTTGACAATGTCAAAAGATGGTCGCTGAAATACCATGTTGTTGGTATTGTCCAGGTAGCGTTATTGTCAGGTGAATACCGAATTTATTGAGGGTGTAATACACTCTAGTGAAATAGTCATAAAAATAATGCAGTGGCAGCTATTCAGGTCAGGAGGGTTCCCAGACTCAAAAAATGACCAAGTATTTTCTTGTAATTATAGAACAGTCATTGAAAAACAATAATTATTACACGCATACGCGGTAAAATATGGCATACTAGGTACTTCGTCATCGATCAAAGCAGACAATCGAGTGCAT